ACTGTAGTCATAGTGACCAGCGGCAGGATGCAAGAGGAGTGGTGGGGGATGATGGGTGTGAGGTGATGTGCAGGGGAAGGGGGGTCAGCAGGGGGGCGGAGTTCGGGAGGGAGACAGAGTTCAGAGTTCGGGGGGCAGAGTTCAGTAGAGAGACAGCTCTGGGGAAAAAGCTGTTCCTCAGTCTGCTGGTTCTGGTCCAGAGGCTTCTGAAGCGCCTACCGGAGGGCAGGAGGGTAAACAGTCTGTGGGCAGGGTGGGAGGAGTCTTTAAGGATGCCGTGAGCTCGCCGCAGACAGCGTTTTCTTTGGACATCCTCAATGGCAGGAAGTGGACACCTTGTGATGCGCTCGGCGGTTTTTACCACCCGCTGTAGCACCTTAAGGTCTGTGACAGAGCAGTTTCCGTACCAGACTGTGACACTGCTGGTCAGGATGCTCTCGATGATCACACAGCGGTAGAAGTTCCTCAGTACAGCTGAAGACAGGTGGTGTCTCTTCAGTGTCCTCATGAAAAACGATGAGCTCCTTCGTCTTGCTGGTGTTGAGAAGCAGGTTGTTGTCAGCACACCAGGTGGCCAGATGCTGTACCTCCTCCCTGTAGGCTGTGTCATCATTGTTGCTGATGAGGCCAATCACCAGCGTATCGTCCGCAAACTTGATGGTGTTGGATCCATGTACAGGTCTGCAGTCGTGGGTGAAGAGGGAGCAGAGGAATGGGCTCAGCACACAGCCCTGTGGTACGCCTGTGTTGAGTGTGATGGTGGTGGAGCAGGTGTGTCCTGACCTAACATACTGGGGTCTGTTGGTCAGAAAGTCCATTATCCAGTGACGGAGGGAGGTGTTGAAGCCCAGGTCTCCGAGTTTAGTGTTTAACTTGGAGGGGATGACAGTGTTGAATGCTGAGCTAAAATCAACAAACAGCATTCGTGCGTATGTGTTGTTATTGTCCAGATGTGTGAGCACAGAGTGCAGCGCAGTGGAAACTGCATCCTCTGTACTCATATTGCTGCGGTAGGCAAACTGGTATGGGTCCAGTGTGGGTGGGAGGCAGTTTTTCAGGTGTGCTAGGACCAGTTGCTCAAAGCCCTATCTACAATTGTATCAACTTTTCTATATCCTAAAACAAGTTCCACTTCCTTCTCTTTCACCAACCGTCGTCCTTTGTTCTTTTCAAATGAAACTTTATTAACAATTGTCCCAATTTCACTCGTACAGTGTGAGCTCTCCGGCCGTGCCCGACAATCGGGTCGTATAATGTGAGCGCGTACATCTCAAGGTCTGGTCGGGCGTCGTAAACGATTCAGTCGTACAGTGTGAGCTGACATGCCACCCTGACTTTTATACAATCAGGGAAAAATCGCACAGTGTGAGCCAGGCTTTACTCTTATATGTTTTTAATGAAATGTGTTCTATTTTAATCCAGTATTTGCAAAAACAATCCTGCATTGCATGCTAACTCTTGCTAATTAGCACTAAAAGAAAAGTAGAGATAACGCTGAGAAGAAACTCATTAGCTTTATGGTCATGAACTAAAGTGCTGGACAAATTAAAAATGTGACCTGATGATGCTGCTCTGAGAAAAGTCAACGGCTCACCATAGTTATTACAAGTTCTCCTAAGGGGGGAATATGAAAATATGCTGATCATAGGACACGCGTGAAATGCCAGGGGGTCTTATGAAACAGCTTTGAAAAGCTGTATGTCTGTGGTTTGTGAAACAATCACAGCATCTTGTTCTAGTTAACGTCATGGTATTACCCCTCGTATCATGTAAATCCTCATGGTATAGTGCTCCTATGAAAAGCAGAGCAGATGTATGGATGAGCTGTGGAGTGTCAGATCCAGGGAATCAGATATTTGAACTCTGCTCTAGACAAACATCCTCTTAGGAAACAAAGGATTGTTTTACAGAAAAACAAACACCAATGGAAAACATCATGAGAATCAGACCTTAATCATCTATCTCAAATACGCCACATTCTATAAATTACATTGTACCAACTCATTCAATTCTCACAAACATACAGCTTTGGTAGCCCCTCTCATGTTCCAATGGCAGCAATCACTCAGAATACAGTAGATGCATCCAGACACACACAAACACTACTTAAAGCCGGAGAGACTTGCAATGCTTTAAGACTTCCTTTAAAAGACGACAAGGTTTCAGCTGATTTCTGGTCATAGTATATTCCCCAAACTTCCATAAAACAACAAAAGTGAAACATTTCCTACATTCACATTTTCTCATTGTGTCTCCAGATGTACAGTAACTGTTAAACTGAGTGAGGAGCTAATTACAAGCATCACTGTACAGTATCATCTGTCTAACTTTCATCCTAATGGACTGAAACACTGCTGAACTCACACGGTCTGTCACACAGACTGACGTGACTGATACTTTGTATGATTGGTTGAACGTCTGACCGACTAAACAACCAAAGAATCTGAGAGAATGACGGGCGGTGAGTGCAGCTGATTGACTGTCAGTAGCCCTTTAATATGAGCTGAGCAGCCATGTGTGTCCGTGCCATGAGCGTGTTGAGTGACCGGCAGGCTAATGGCATGACCTCCTGCGATGATAATAATGGGAGAAGGAGAAGGGGGAAGAGAGTGAGAATGGTGTCAGAAAGACACATCAGGAGCAAAAGAAGTGAGGTTTTGATATAGAAAGAGAAAATGACTGAAAAGGCAGTCATATAGAACACCTTACAGACATGGCCACACACCTATACTAGAGGAAAAAGGGGACGGATTAGAGCGACTAGTCAGAAGATGAGTCAAATGGAGATCGCCTCTTCTAAAAAAGTAGAGAATGAAGAAAGCGATAGAGGCTGGATCAGGAATAAGACTGGTGAACTTGTAGGTGTTCCTAATAGATTACATAAATATCCCCTCTATGCACCTTTTGGCAATGTTTTTTTAGTCTTAGAGTTTGTCAGTTTCTTTTTACAGTTATAGGGCACAATACCTCATTTATGTCCTTGGGTGTAGATTTAACTGTCTCCTTGGGCAGAAAACAGTATCCCAGAGGGCATAAGTAAGGATAATGACTTCTGTATTCTCATGTGCTGTTACAGTAAGAACGATACCCCTGACATGGCATTTTTGCCTTGAAATAGCCTGAAGCCTAGACTGAGATATGATGAGCAATCAGTTTAGATTGTCTTTGCATATAACCATTGGGATTACATTTATCAAAAGAGGTATTCTTTGAATCTAAATTTGACACTTGTGATAGAAAGCCTCATACTACACTAAGTTCTCTCTTAAATGAGGATGCAAAGTCCACATGAACTGATACTTTCAACTTAGTTTGGTTGATCGTAAGACTTTCTTGACGTGTGGCTACAGTCCAGAAACTGGAAAAGGTTTTGAGTAACATCCTCTGCCTTAGTTAAACTGCACTCACCTTGTCTGTTATGCTGCATTCCATTAACCTCAGAACTCAGATCTTGGCGCTGGGAATGAAGTAACGCCTGAGTTTCAGTCCTTAGTTTCAGTCCTTAGTTTCAGTTTTGAGGCAGCATGAACACCTCCAGGAGTACCTTTGTTTTGTTAGCTGAGACCAGGTGATAACAACACACTACGTGATAGTTTGCATGCAAAAATAACATGGCAACACATCATCAGATGGAACTTGCACATTACTATTGGTGTGATTGATTTAATTACACTAAAACAGGACTAAGCTGCTGATGAACACAATAGTTGCAGCTAAAAGAGGGCTACTGAAGTTGCTTAGAGTTTCCAAGTCGGAATTCCAACTTCAGGGGGGCGTTCCTGATGACGCATTAGACCAGTAACTCTGAGTTTTTGACTTCAGAGATCAAATGGAACGCACCATTAGAGTTGGATATATGCATAATCCCAAGAGCATTGCTATTCAAAAGCAAAGAAGCAAACAGCTAAATATAGCTTAAATAAATCATCAAGAGCAAAACAAAGGACAAAGCATGAGGAAGATGATGTGAACAGTTTTTTTTCTACAATGCGTTCAAAAACCAACGGTGAGCTCAAAATATTTGTACTCAGTAAGCAAATCATCCAACCCAGTATATTTTCTTACCAACAGTCCATATAAAATGCATAGTTTGGAGATGTCAAGTTATTGCACCCTGACAGCTGTTAACAAAAACTTTAAATCAAGCAGGTAAGATTTCAGTCATAACTTTTGCCTGCGTTTGAATATTTCAATTTATGCTATCCTTAAAATGAACAGCACAGGAATTCCAACATAGATTAGATATGTAACTACTACAACCCAGTGCTGGTTACAAAGATACTAGATAAGAACTGCATCCAATTTACTGTATTCTTCACAATGAGGAGGACATGGAACTGGATTTAAATCATGCATCAATCATCATCCAATCCTCCAATGTATACTGACTTATTAGGAAAACTATGCTGGTGAAAACCTTATCAGCATAGCCATTATGTAAAAATCTCAGCTTTTCAGTGCAGCAGTCCTTTTATTTCATTATAGCTGAATATGTACTTTTTTCACTGGCAATACAAAGTCAAGGATGTTATTTTAAGCACCTCTGTGATGCACAATCGTACACAGTCCATCATTATATACTGATTTAAGGTACGATTATGCAAATCTTAAAGCACCAGTCCAACAGCTTTTACATCATCACTAGAGAACCGGTCATGTTTTATTCATTTAAAAATGTATCAGCTAATGTCATGGTTCAGTGTCGGTCAATCAAAGAACAAGTGCTGTATTCTATCAAATGGCACATGCAGGAAGAGAAATCCACACAGAAAATAATGGGATCTGTCATTTTCTCCACTGGCAGTGACTTTGATACATAATGTGACCAGTAAAGGACGTGACTCCCTTTTCTTCAATGATCTTATCACTAAGTTTGTGTGCATGTCTGGGTTCAACTTTCTTCAGTGCAAAGCAGGACATTGTTACAAGTGCAACTCAACAAACACAGGAGCTGGTTTGAAGTGAGTATATTGTCCAAAAAAGAAGCAGTATGGCTGGTCATCCGGCAGGAGAGGTTGTGGCAGGCGGGCAGGAAGGCAGGCAAAAACACTAGGGGGAAAACAAAGAGAGACAAGTGGTACACTATAGAAAAACTCTTCAAGAAAATAGCAACAAAACTTCTCCATCCAAAAGGGCAAACTCTAACTACCACTGTTGGTGAGCGGAGAGTGGATGGAAGACCAGGGTTTTTTAACACTGCAGGCTTGATTGTGGATGGGAAACAGGTGTGCAGCAAAGAGGAGGCGATGGAGAGGCTTGACCAGGTAATGAGAAACACAAATTGACAGGAACAGACGGACACAGGGGAGATTGGGAACACAGGGGAGGCTGAGGTTGCGGACAAGGCTGTAACAGAAGTAGTGACTTTAACAGAGAAGTTTTTCCCTTTACAAAAAAGCAAAGTCCTCCAATGCAAAACAAAATAAATGAACATAACCTTGCAGACTGTTGATACAGTTCACCATTGAAACTGCTCCAATTCACCACTTGACATGAATCATTTTTTCCTGTAGTAAATTGATATGATAAAAATATCTAGGCTGCACACAGAGAGAGTAATACCAGGCTGACGTCAGCAGCTCCTTGTTGTGACCACCTGCTACACCTGCACTGACGTTTTAATTGTTTAAACATTGTCACCACAGTGAATAGGAGAGCAACACAGGCAGACGCACACAATTGTTAGAGTTGAAGGTTAGAAAATAAACTTTGGCTTAATTGTTCCAAAAACTAAATCAAAAGAGGAAGAAAACTTCTGTGACTTTTTGCCTGTGTTTTCTATGCTTAAGTAGATTGACAAGCAGACATGCTAATCCAGTCATGATGCCATTTTAGCTCTCACAAATCCTTTTTTTGTGTGTGTAATCCTTTGTGGTTGCTACGCAGCTGCAACAAAAATACGGCTGCTAAAGGAAAATAAGTGTGTCACATCATGTTGATGCGTTATGCAAGGCACGTGTGGTGCAGCAGCCTAAAGTGCTTCCTTGTCTTTTGCATCTCTGCTTGCTCAGATCATCTATTAACACAATCATTAATGCAGAATCCCAAGGCCACCCTAACTTCACCCATAGTGATTATCTGCAGTTGCACTCACAGACCTTCAGTGGGCACCAAAAACAATTCCTCCATAATTTAGCTTTTTGATAAAATACTCATCATTACTTTACTTTACTTCACTGTGTTTCTTCTTCTATGTTAAGTACCTTGAGCTAAATTGTGAGGAATTTACTGCAATGCTCCAGTTTATTAATTGTGGCTCTTCAACAAGTGTGTAACAAGCCTTTATTGTTGCATAAATACATTTTAAAAGTTTAGAAAAAAATTAGTATAAAAAACATCATCACTGCAGATGGGAGAGCAATCCACTAAAAGCTTTTTCAACACTTAGTTAAAAAACTGCACATTCACACGTTTGAGCTGCTCAGTAACATTTCTGTACTCTTAGCTGCTGCACAGACCCACTGTAGTAAATGAGGGTTAAACACATTACTCAAGGGCGAGGAGATTACAGTCCCAGCTGGAGGAAGGAAAAAGTTCTACTCATTCATTTAAGTCCAGATCTTTCCATCTGGTCTGCACCTCAGCCTGCATTCTGAGGGATATTGGGACTTCTGTATTGATATTTTATTCAACTAAAAATGACCCCATTTCCTGATCTTTGAGGCACCGCCATGAGAAAGACACACACACACACACACACACACACACACTTTTCCAGTTACACCATGGTGATACATACTTTTAACATGCTCAATAAATTGACTTGTGAAAAAAAAATACACATTTTTATGTACAAGATAAAGAGAACATACTCTTAAAGAAGGTATTAGTAAGTAAACCTTTATCACAAATATTCTTCAGGAAGTCCGACACTCTTATGAACGTGCTCACAAACAGTCTGATTCCAGCCAGTGTCTCTATGTCCTTGACTTGAACTCATTGCAAATATGCCTGTCTGTTTTCTGCTCCATCTCATTGAAGGACTGCATTCTCCTTCAATGACATGCAATTGTACTATTATTGGAGCCACACACACACACACACACACACACACACACGCATTCATACAGAGAGACGTCTTGATTGAATGACAAGGTGAGGAGAAACTCGAGCTGATGGATGTAATTTTCCATCATCACCTCTTCTCTCTCTTGCAGGTCTTTTCTTCTTATACTTGCCCTCTGTTCGTCCTTCCAAACTTAAGTTATTTTGCATTAATTGCATCTTCTCTTCTAGTTATGTACAATTATCTCTCTTCATTTGCAAATCTATCAACAGAGAAAGTACTATTACGCCATGAATCTGCACAAGTCTTTGCATGTGTTGTATATACAAGCATGTGACAGTATTTATGCATGTTCATTTTTGTAGCTCTAGCTTATTTTTCAGTTATTTAACAGTCTTCCTCACCGCTTGTTTTTCCTGACAGGTGACTTCATGTTATGAAGATACAAAATTTAATTGGTTTATACTTCACAGGCATTGAGTCTTATTACTAATTCCTCCTTAAAATCAATCGCTTTTTGACTTTGGGCATTTTACTTTGAAAACTAATTCAGTATGGATGGCAGGCATTAGTAATGGGATGACATTTTAAAGTTTTCTTGCTTGGGTTTTATGAAAGTTCTGACACAGTAGAAGTTTTGTAGTTTATAATATGTCTGGGAAATTGAACTCAGTACTTAGTTAATGGACCAGGCAGGTAAAAAATCCCATAAAATTATTAAGTTCACAATCAATTTCATTAAGTTTATAATAACAACACACATTTGGTTTGCCTCTTTATTATCTTTGGATAAAGAAAACTCACCATCTTTTAAAAATGTAAATTGAAATCAGCAGTTGCTTCAGAGGAAAGTAAATGGTTGCTAGGAACAGTTTATTTTGACCCACATGTTTATTTTTGAAACTAAAACAGAATTTCACATTCCACTTTCAGTTTTTTGATTTATAAATGCTGTTTGCTTGACCTTGAGGCTTGAGCATGAACAGCCCTCCAGTGGATCTGTCCTTTAAAAACCTCAGCCATATTGCAGGTATCATATTTTTCTCATATTTTACAATCTGTTTTAGCCTTACAGCCAGGTTAGTATTTTTATGGTACTTCTTATTTTATAGTCGTTCCTTTAGTGTATATTATACTCCGACAGTTGTTTGTGCAACTCGGATTTGCTATTGTCACAACTAATGCTAACATTTATTATACAATTGTGCATGGCAACACAGATTAAACAGCAAAACTTGTTCCCAAAAACTTGCCAGCTTTTCACTATTATTGTTTTTTGTTTAAGCCTCAATGTCCACAAAACCCCGAAATGGCCTACGACCTATAAGAACCAACTCAGAGATGAAGTACATGAGCTGCTCTTTGCGTCTCAGTTACAACAGCATCCAGGACTTCTCTGGCCTCCACTGTATGCTGAACTACTTCCTGGCTGAGCCAACAAAGCTCGGCTGGTTGGACCTGTCCTTCAACAAAATCACAAGCATAGATACAGTGAGACCTCTCTACTTTTTTATATCATGTAAATGTTTTTTTACAATGTTTATCTGTCTTATTAAAAAAAAAAGTTTGTTTTTTTGTTAACCTATAATCACACAAATATCCCTGATTTTAAAAAAGTATAGTTATATTTTATCCATAGGTATACTGAATCAAACACTTTACACGAAACTAAATCTTCTAGCATAGTAACATCACTGGATGCTTTAAAGCTGTAGTTTGCAACTTTATTTCATTATAATTGTAATTAAAATGGAATATATTGGTCATCGTAATTACTGACAATATCAAATCCATTGAAATGTTCATTTGAATAGGTATGTGATCTGTATTCGAGTTAACAAAAACATTCAGGCTAAATCAAAACAACCAATCAGGGTATGTTAGCAAGTAACTAGCCAATCACAGCCAGTCTGAAAGGAGAATGTTTGGGTTGCGGACAATGATTGGTTGCCTACCATTTAAATATTCATGTTCATACATAATGTTCAATAATTTGTGATTGCCTTGCAAATAATTCACAACCTCATTCCTGCAACATTTTTATGATTTATGTTAGCAACTTATTTTGCTTTGATTGTGTTTGTGTGTGTGTGTGTGTGTGTGTGTGTGTGTGTGTGTGTGTGTGTGTGTGTGTGTGTGTGTGTGTGTGTATGTTTCAGGCTTTGTGTGAGCTACGTGAGCTGCGTGTGTTGTACCTTCACAGTAACAGCATCTGGAGCCTGTCAGAGGTGGACAAGCTGGGAGAGTTGCAGTTCCTGCACACCATCACGTTGCATGGAAATACCATTGATTCCATCAAAGGTTACAGGTGGAGACTTTGTTATCTTTTAGTTCAGGCTCACACACACATTTTGCTTGGCTGGTAAAACATGTGGAGATATGCAGCAATTGTTTCTGGGTTGTAAAAAAAATACATCTGATTGGATAGAACCAGAAAGTCAACTACTACAACTTCTACAACTAGAAGAAACTACTTTCAGCTACTTCATATTCGTAGTTTTACTCCTTAATCGGTCAAAAGCTAAGCCTGGGTGATTATGAGATGATTAATGGAACTGAAAAGATGGAAAATCATGGCTCTGCTACATAAATTAGTATTTCCATGCACTTCTCTTGGATCTTTGCTTCATAAAGAAATATTAGAGGTTTTTTTCATCTTTGTGCCTGAAAAAGTTATTTAAACAAAATCATGGAGAGCTGTAGAGGGCAAATGTCTCTTTTATGGAACCTCTAAAAAACACCCTACAATCACTCCTTTTTTGTAAAGGTTCACAACCATTAAAGGCAAGTCAAAAGTACAAAATTTTGTTTTGAAATTTAGCAGGAGAGAAGCCTAAAGGGAACAGATACAGCACTTGATGCTTTTGCAAATGACAAGGTGAAATGGTAATTGGTGCTTAAATAGAGAATGGGCTACAATCTCTTATAATACAAATTCTGTTGCAATCTGCATAACAACAGATGTATACACAGAAATAATCAAGGTCACCCTTTATTGGTTTAATTTCCCATGCGTTAAGCTTCTGGATTTCATTTTCATCTCATTTCATACTATCATTTATGTAAAACGAAAGGAAAGTGCAGACAAGGTCTTCTCTGCATTAACTGAAACATGTCTTCCCCATTCAAAGCTAAATATAGATTCATTATATGGAAGCTCATTGAACGTCCATGAAGCTTATGCTGTGTGTGTGCATGTGTGTTTGTGTGTGTTTAGGCAGCATGTGGTTTCTGCCCTGCCCATGTTGAAGAAGATGGATTTCAGTGCTGTGACACGAGAGGAGCGAGTGCTGGCAAACATTTGGAGTCCCTGCACCAACCAGGGCAAAATTGCTGTATGGCCATTGTGATATATTTGAAGTCCTAAAGTGCCTGCTGCTAGCTGAATTTTTTTTCCCTGTGTTGTTTATCAATTAAAAACACATTCTCACTCTCAACTCGTTAATCATGGCAGCTTGACTCCGAGCTTCAAATAATGACACTCTAGGCGCCGTCCTAGCATCAGTAACGTAAAAATATAGATACACTGCAAAGACTAGACTTTGACTTTGGCTAGACTTCCAAACTTACGATGTTAAATAAGTGATTTGACGATTAATATCTCACAGTGTTTGACTCTTGTATCTTCAACAGTCATTGCATCGCTTTAAAAGTTGCAAAGAAGTTGCAGTTTGGTATTGGTATTTGATTTAAGTTATGTACATACATTACGGGCCTGTATCCACAGACATTTATAATACAAATCCAATGTAGTTGGAGAACTCACAGGGCTCCCATTTGAAAACAGTTGAACTTTTAGCACAGCGCTGCAGTCGTTAATCTCACTTCTCCCTCACCAAATCAAAATCAAGACATGGTGGGACTTAAAACATCAGCTTTGCTAACATCAATGGCGGAGGAGACGCTAGTCACTCATCTTTACGAGGGTACAAATTTGAGGTGTAGCCCTGCTTGTGATGCCAGGACATGACCGTTTTACACATTTTTTCTTGCAGAGGTATCTAAAACACACCTAACGGACATTACCAAGGGAAGTAGAAGTAGAAGTTAACTTTTGGTCATGAGTGCTTCCAGCACAAAAAGTGATGTCTGCAGACACAGGCCCTAAAGCTTCTGTGAGGACTTTAACTAAAAGCATACAAAACCATCAAGATTCATATATAGTACATTTTAAAGGTCATAGCACCTACCTTCTCAAGCACGGTACACTTCTTTGGCCCTGGCATAGTTGGAATGGGTTTTTAGATTGTTCCCATAATGTGAGCCAACCATTCTGCACTTTGGATTTATTTTGGAATTTTTACTTTAACCTGAGGCTCCTATATCAGGGAACAGAACCTATATCCTTAGTTTATGTGTGCTCATTGGGTGCTCTAATTGTGTGGTGACCAGAGAACATTAAGGGTCACCTTTACTTAATGTGAAATATAAAAGCTTTGTGTGTGTGTGTGTGTGTGTGTGTGTGTGTGTGTGTGTGAGAATATATATTTAAACAAAATAATGTTTACTTAAGTGGAGGAGGGTTTGGCATCAGTGTGAAGCAATCAGAACCCAATTTACAGAGGTCTGCAATACATGCACACACACACACAAATAAAACAAATATGGATGTGACATGTCCGGTTTACATTGTAAACAGCTTTGGGTCTCTGCTATTACCATCTGGTCTTGTTAGAGAAGAAATGTGGACCATAAATCAGGCCTGAGGCTGAGTTAGCTGGCTGTCCTCCAGGCTCTGTTTGGTGCAGGGTCGTGTATCCGTGTTTCCTCCAGCGAAATCTTTAATTGATGGGATGGAAATGCTTCTGAATCAGCATTTTGATCATGTGATACAAAAAGGGCTGCGGAAACCAATACTAATGAAATTGTTTGAAACTGAATTTGGACCTCTTGGGACTAAATCTTGAAATTAATGCTTGTGTGAAGTAATTCTCTGTGAGTGTCGGAGACCTCAGGTTCTTTTCAAACGTGGTACTAATATGACTATTTTTCAAACAGCATTTAATACATGTTTCATGCTGTGCAGTGAAGCCGGTATCAATGAATATCTCTCCTTTAGACTGGCAGCTGCTCTCAGCAGGACTTCTGCTTTGACTGTACAGTGCTGAAGGAAATACTTTGACACAGATTTTGACTGCTTATTAGCTACCATACACAAAAGTCACTCTTGTTGATTATATTTCAGATGTGCTTCTCTATTTGATACGTTGCAGACTGTAGTGAAGTAAGATACAGGAGTGTCGACACATTTCCAAGGTTTGCAATGAATGGAAATATACAGTACAGCTGTCAATGAAATATTATTATTCTAATGTTGCTCATGTAGAATGTATCCCTGGGAATACAATATACCAGGCTGAGAAGTACAAGGAAGAAGTCAATGCAGCCCCCCCTTCCCCCAGTTAAACAGTTCATAGTGTTGTATGATCTGATTTTTTTATGGACAGCTTTTGATTAAATTAGTGTTAGCAGACTTACGAGAACTCAAATGGATACATTATTTTTGGCCATTCAGTATAGATGGTGTCTTGAAGGCTCACAAAGTATTTATCATACTTTGACCGTTAGTTTGGCGCTATAAACTTCTGTAATTTAGTCTGTAAAGTCTGGGATATCTTCTAATTGGTTTAAAGATGCAATATGTAGTTTCCGCCGCCAGGGGGCTCTCAATCAATACTACAATAACAAAAGATGACGTAGAGGTTAGCGAGGAATCATGGGAGATCTCTCTGCTACTCCCCTCAAACTTTAAACAGTTAGCAGAGGCCAACATCTACTCTAATGGAGCTCAGCGTAAGTTCAGACAGGAAGACTGGTTATATTGCATTGTTTTAGAATTACAATAAATTCTTAACTAAAGATAGCGTTCAAACAATGAATACAGTATTTTATATCCATGTGATAAACAGCTTGAGAGGTGTTCCAAACAAGGGTTGTTGTAGACTTCTATAAACTTAATTATATGGGCTAACTTTTCTCCTGAGGTAAAGAGAGCTCTTAGCCAAAGCCAAAGTCAGCTTATCGAAGAAAATGTCAGCTTTTGTTTGATCTGGGACGAGACCAAGCTGACCTTCTTTGAATTGAAGTGTTGTCTTTTCAGTGGAAAATAATTAAAAAACCCTCTGGAGTATCAACACAATTTGTTGTTGTTGATTTCACTTCATGCCAATGGCAAAGATTAAAGCTACTTTGGTTTTACAGTTATCACTCAGTGCATCTTTTCTTCTGCATTTATCCTCATACACACAGCCTGTGGTATGTAAGTATGTAATTCCTTGCATTTTGAATACCCCCTCATTTCAATTAATGTATTGTTTTTCATTTTTCATGAATTCAGCAGAGCCACAGTAGATTTATCACATGCTCTCTGCTTACAAATCCAACAAATCTCTTTTGTTATTTGCAGTGCCATGAAGATTGTTGTCAATGGGAATTAAGGAAAGACAAACACTATAAAGAATCTCATTTACACTTCAGAGTGTTGACGTTAGGCTGGCGATTTTGTCTTTTTCATTTATTTTGAGTATGGAACTCATTTACTTTCCAGCGTATGGGTAACAATACAGTTTGTATTTATAATTCATCACTTTGTGCAAAGGTTCCTCAGGTGTCTCATCTGGACTGTCCATATTGGTTATTAACTATTTTTAATGAAGTATTTCATACTTTTGTCCACCTACTATAAATATCTAAAGTTGTTAGTCTGAATCATCACATAGCAGCCCATGAATTACTTAAAGCAAGATGCCTTCTTTAGTTATTTTCCCATCATTCCCATTAGGTATGACAATGTTTTACAGGAGTGAAATAGAAATTGGAAGAGAGATGTAATTAATTATTTACCAAGTTCCATTCCTCATTTTCTCACTTTCAATAAACAGCGCTGCCAAACTCTATTGTGGATGATTTATGATGAAAATGACTTACCAAATTGAGTACAGACAGTTCAGACTAAACTAAAAAAATATTGTACCTTGAAAATTCAGAGGCAAGTTGCAAAAACTGTGAAACACAAATATTAAGCCAAAGGCGGGTAGTGTGTTAGTCAGCTGTCAAATTCTGATTGAACTCACATTAAGACACCTGGATGAATAGTTTAATCAGTGTCACATGATGCAAATCAAACCCAAAGTGTGAATGGTGTGAGCACACAGCTCATGGTGACTGAAAGGTGGAAACGTTTTGGCACTTGAGTCAAGTAACAAATAATTAAAAGATGCAAAGTAGTTCAACATTATCAACATTATCAAGTCACTTTCTTTTCCCCCACCTCTTATCATTCACCCCTTCACGTCCAATACGGCGGCCCAGATATGCATATTTTCAAACTGAAAATGTGTCTTTTATACTCTTGTCTGAGTGAAATATAAAAATCAGAACTGTCCGGGGCGCCGTTGGCCTAGTGGTTAAAGCGTGTACCCTGTGTACAGAGGCTGTAGTCCTCGACGCGGGCAACCCCTGGTTCGAATCCGACCTGTTAAAGGTTCCTTTCCCACATGTCATTCCCCACTCTCTTTGCCCCTGATTTCTGACTTTCCACTGTCCTGTCTCTACAATAAAGGCATAAAAAGCCCCAAAAATGTTTTTACATAATAAAGTCAGAGCTGTCCTACACGGAAAGACAGAACAGAGCTGCACGTAGCACCATGTGGCTTTGATGTGGTCTGAGGAGGCAGACGACATGCACAAATCCCAGTAATCCTCAACACTAAAACTACACCACACTGCTTGATCGTCACCGACACACCCCCTGCTGTGCCTCTCCTCCCACTAAGGTGCAGTTGTTCTCTGCTCCCTTCAGGGAAAATGACATCAATACAGGACACAGACAGTGTTTATAAGATATTCTGAGAGCACTAGCTACACCAGGTAGTTATATTTTCAGGTTCTGGGAGGGAATCCAGCTCAAGAGCCATAAAGGACAGAGCCCAGAGAGTGTTATTTTATGAGCGCAGATGTGTTGAATAAATCATTTTTCTCGGACCTAATTAAACACTTACTGCCTAGCCCTGTAAAGCTATTAACATCTGCTCTACCAATGAGCGAGGAAGAGCTCCAGCACTGGATTACATTAACCATAGCAGACAGAATATGTATAATCTTGTCTTTCATGATTTTCTTTTTTGTGTTTCTACGCCTGTCTCTCTGTCTGTCTTTATAGCTTCCCTCCTCTCTTTGTAAAGTTATGAGTGTTTCTGCTGCTCTCAGTTTTTACATTTTGTTTGATTTCATTGATGAATTAATTCTTGCTGTTCCTGTCATCAAACAGAATACACATAGTAAAACTTATGTCGACACCTGTGTTCATTACATTTCTGTTTCTCCCAAATTCTTAGAAGACTTGGAACCAGCTGGTATTCAGTCATTGATTTAGTACAATAGAAACTCATAAGACA